ATAATGCTTTCCTCTCTGATGGAGTGGAAGTATGGAAAGAATTGAAAATATTACTCGAGGAAAAATTATCATCTGTACAAATGAAAGTTTTTGATAAACGGTATAAGCAGGCACTTATGTCTAACCATTAAATAGCCTATATTTTAGATGTTACTAAAACTATGTATAAGTTAACATCTGTAGAAAAAGAGGAGGCCTTAAATAGAATTAAGGAAATGTATGCTAATACCGGTTTACTACCGCTAATTATAAAACTAGAAGCAAAAATGGAACCATTTTCATCAATAATGTTTTCGGAGGAAGTCTTATGTAATGTAAGTGCTTTACAATGGTGGGTATCACAAACACACATTGCTGAAGTAAAGAAGGTACTGCCAATATTAAAGCAATTTTTATGTGCGGTTTGTTCATCTGCTTCTGTTGAGAGAATATTTTCAACATTTGGGCTTGTTCACTCTACTTTACGAAACAAGTTAGATCTTGAAAAGGCAGGAAAACTTGTTTTCTTATATAAGTATTACAATGAATCTTAATTAATTACATCCCATACCGAGCCCACAGAGGCCTTTCGAACGCGTTCATGTAGATCATCTGGGACCTTTTATGCGAAGCGTGAGTGGTAACGTTCATTTGTTGGTAGCAATCGACGCGTTGACTAAATTCGTTAAACTCTACCTAGTGCGAGATACGAAATCAAAAACAACGGTTCGGGCATTAGCAAAAATTGATCGGAGATTTTGGGATTCCAAGACGAATAGTGTGCGACCGAGGAACGACATTTACCTCTGGTGAAGTTGGACGGTTCGCGAATAGATACGGGATCCAAGTGACTTATAATTCGACTAGTCAAATGATCTAGTCGAACGGGTAAACAGATAATGAGACTTGGAACAAAGGAATCTCAATGATAGAGAAAAATCTCAACAGTGCTGTAAACAAGACAACTAACCGTACACCATATGAGGCGTTATATGGATATCTACCGAACTTTGCCGATGGAAGGTTAACAACTAAAGCTGGGCGAGAAGTTTAGAAACCAGCGAAAGAAATGCAGGACGAGATTCGTAAAACAATTACCGAAGAGCAAGTGAAAATGAAAAGGCGGGTAGATGTAAAGAGATTTTTGGGTGTTAAGTATGATGTAATGCGAAGAAATCCGGTGGGAACAGGCGAGCCAACTAAGCTACAACCTAAATATAGAGGACCCCTTGTTATAACCGAGGTACTACCCTCCGATACATATCTAAAGAGTTGTAGTAAGTAAATAATTTTAACTCTTTTTTAAAAATTAAAATGCAAAGACAGACGTGTTGTCTGGTTGATTGCTTATAATCGAATAATCAGCGAATAATATTTACATCGAAATCAACAAAAATGGTAACATAGGTAATTTATGATAATAAGGTAATTTGACAAAAATTATAATTTCTATGTGAAGGTAGGCTGTGTACGCTACAGTTACTCCCCCTTCCACAAGAAAACCAAACGTAAAAAACAATATTAAAAGTACGAAAATAAAAGATAAATTAGCAAGAAAAATTAAAGTGAACTTTGAATTGTTTTTTGGTAGACAATGCGTCGTTACTATTGCAGTTATTTGACTTGTCATTAAGTAAAAATGCGGGTTTTAAACGATTTATATTTATAAGTAAGTCCTTATTATTTTATGAAATTATGAATTAAGAATTTTAAAAGGGCCTTCGTAACGAGGGGTAAGTGAAGGTTGCATGTCTTCAATTCTGATAAAAACGTAATCAGATTTAAAAAGATCTTTATGAAGAAAAGGTTTGTCTCGTGAATGAAATGACGTTTCGATTGGTTGTAGGTTTGAAAATGTTTGTGTCTAACGAATGTTGTGGTTTTATGAAGAATTCACCAGGTAGTCAGAGAGGTTGGCCGGAAACAAGTTCGGCACAGGAACAGCCAAGGTCTTCCTTAAGGGAAGATTTGAGGCCTAAAAGAACGACGGGAAAATCGTCATACCAGTTGCTCTTGCTACCTCTGGCAATTAAGGCTGTTTTGAGAGTTCGATGGAATCTCTCCAAAATGCCATTACTTTGCGGATGGAAAGAGGATGTGTGAATCTGGCGAGTATCTAAAATATTGTTAAACTTCGAAAATAACGAAGATTCAAACTGTCCACCTTGGTCATGCGTGATGGTGTGAGGTTTACTTTGGCTTGCTGGCATGGTAAACATGTCTTTGTCCACCACTGAATATCTTTTGACATATGTAGCCAATAGAAACGGGATTTAAGGTTATGAACAGTTGCAAGTATTCTGGAATGTGAAATATTGTGAAATTTCTGGAAAATGATTTTTCTAAATTTATCTGGCACGTAAATTCTTGGCAATGGTGGAGATATTTCGCACCAAAGTTTAAAATCTGATTCTTCAATTTTTGGCTGAGATAAATGAAAATTGCGTAAATGTTTGTTGGAAAATTGTTTATTGAGTAAGTGCGTTAATTGTATATCCTGGTCTTGAGCAATTTTAATAGATTAATTAAGGGATTCAACATTGATGCGTGACAAAGTATCTGCCACAACGTTCGAATCTCCTTTAATATATTTAAGTTCAGATGTGAATTGGGTGATAATAACTCAGATAACGAATTTGTCGAGGAGTTTTTTCGATTTTTGAAAATATTGAATTAATTAAAGGTTTGTGATCAGTGAAAACAACGAATTGATTTCCATGCAGAAAATGTTTAAAGAACTTTATCGCGGAATAAATCGCTAAAAGTTCTCTGTCAAAAGTAGAATAATTAATCTGGCAATTTTTTAGAAAAGAAAGCTAAAGGTCGTGTTTCGTTGTCTGAAGTTTGAGCAAGAACTGCTCCCATGGCACTATTTGAGGCATCCGTTGTTAAAGAAAGCATAGCTTGGGGTGATGGATGAGCAAGGATGGCAGATTTAGCTAGTTCATTTTTAGATGTTGTAAAAGAAATGTCGTGTTCAGTCGACCAAGTTGATATTAATTTCTGTTTCTTGGAATATAGGGTATTCGATAAATTATATAGAGGACCCAAAATGTTGGAAATGTTAGGAATGAACCTATGATAGAAATTTATCATTCCTAAAAACCTTTGTAATTGTTTCAATGTTGTTGGAGTTGGAAATTCCGAAATTGCGGAGATCCATGGATAGGGTGAAAGTTGCAGAGCTTCCCATATTTTGTCGGCAATTGACAAAAGGTCAGCAACATCATTTTTGCCAGAAGATAACAAAGCAACTGATATCACCTTCGGAATTCTTTTTTGCCAAAGCCTCAATAGCAATTCTCTGCTGACTACCTGTGAACCACCGGCAGTAGTTAACATTGATGTATAAAATTCTGACGGCTTTTGATCACCCATTTGAAAATTTGACAATAAGTCATCGAGACGTCCTTCTTCACCCAAAGAAAGTCTGTCAATCAAAATTTTTTTGAGTGGCAAATACAAATCATGCTGTGCAATCTTACTACTATAAAAATGTAGACCGAGATTTAGTACCCTCACAATCCACTGGATGACGTTGTAAACTGAATTTGCAGCAATCTGCATTATCTACACAAACAAAGCGCTTGTAACCATAGAAAAATTTATGTATAACGTCAAACTCAGAGGTGAAAGCAAACGTCACATTTTTGTTTTGTCGTTTAGTGTAATAATTGGTGATAACCCCGTTGTATTAGCAAATTTTCTTCCTTACGTTCTTTTGGTTTAGTGTTTTATATCCTTTAGTTAAGTATTTAAATAAGTTAGGGCCATTTTTACCACCTCTTGATAAGTTTATCCAATAGATAAATTGGCGCTTTTTGCCAATGAGAGCAATATACGTTAAAAATTATGAATATTATCTTGGAAAAACTTTAAATTCATATTTATTTGGAAAATGCACTTGACCTCTTCAAAATAAAGTAATGGTATAAACCGGTATAGAAATACCTATATTTAAATTTCGCGCTTTAACCTAATTAGTTCCCTCACAATCCCCTTGGGAGCGCTTGTACCAAAAAATAGTGGGGAGATCACCTTCTATATACATAATATACATAAATTTTTCTATGATACAAATTATCTACCGGGGGATTTTGAATAACGTCTAGAATTAATGTGATGACATCGATTGGAAGATGAGTTAGAACTAAATGATATTTTGTTTTATCGTTTTGCAGCCGTGACAAAACTAATTGTGATTCAATAATCGTAAACCACGCTGCTTTTTGAAGTCCAAAAAGGCGGTAAAGTAAATTTCGTAATAATGTCCAAGTAATTGTCGCCAATAGTAGCATCCACCATTGTAAAAAATTATATTAATAATGAAAATAAAATTATCGGATGTCAAATATGACAAATGATAAAGAATATAAAATGCAATTTGCTGCTTTTTCGTTTAAAATTTCTTGATTAAGAAAGAATAACACCAACCGTTCTCCACGAATCCAAAGAGAAATTATATAACTTGTCGCAAGTAGGGGCTGCAAGGCACTTTCTTAATGTAGCTGTAGCAGCGAAGGAGTTGGAGCAACTTGGTTGGAGCTTAGGTCTGGGAGGTGAAGTTAACTGTTCTTCTTGCTAGTGCAGAGTGGCTGGAGCGATGTGGTTGGAAGTGTNTACCTCCACCTCCAACGGTTGGTGATCCGACTCTACCGCTTCTCCCACTTTAAACCTTTCCACCCTCTCCCACATTTCCTGATCCACCAGTACATAATCAATCACAGATGTCCCCCTCGCCCCGATGTAAGTGTACTCCCCTTCCTCTTTATTTCCATTCAGTATCTCCCATCCGTTCTCCTCCATCCATCTCAGCATTTCTGTTCCTTCTCCATTTCGCACAGTATCCTTCGACCGCCGTCGTCCCTCCTCTCCCCATATCTCCACCCTAATATTAAAACCACCCTAATATTTAATTACATTAATATATTGTTGAAGTTTCAATAAAGTTCAGAATTTCTTTTTCATAACTAATTTATTTATTAAATAAAAAATAATTTACAAGATCAATTTTACAATAATCTCCAAAAATATACAATATTTTAATTAAACATCAGCTATCAACAAAAATTCTTATGAATAAATATACAAATTAGCTTAAATTAATAATAAACCAAATTTTAATTTGGTTTTGTGGGATTAGATCCATATGAACTGCACCATTTTTTCTTTCCAAAATACACCCCGGCTACAATTAAAGCAAGAAAACCAACTCCCGTGATTAATCCTATCGATAGAGATCTTATTCGTCTATAAGCCGGTATCAGATACGAAATTTTATTACTAGCCACTTGATAATCGTTATAAGACATTGCGATCACTTCGAAATGGTATTCATATCCTTCTTCTAACTCAGTTACTAAAAAAAATATTGCTGTTATTTGTTGATTTTCAAAAAATAGTTAATTATTAATTATGTACTTACCAAAAAATGAAGTATTCTTTGTTTCCGCAGTTCCAATTAAATTTTCTCTAGGTCCTTGCAACCATCTTACAATATACAATCGAAGATCTTCTAATCCTTCCGTAGGCGGATCCCAAGTAACTAAATAACCATCTTCAGTTGCGTGAACTTTAATATCACGAGGTGGACCGAGTTCTTGGCCGAAATGAGCGATTCGATTCACATCTGGACTTAAACCTTTCGTCCACACCCTCAAAGTCTTACTAAAAAGACCTTCACCTTTAAAATATTAAATTTTTATATTTATTTATTTATTCTCGACAGCCATAATTGTTACCTTCATCATCCTTACTCAAAACCATAAATTCATACTCTCTTCCTGGTTGTAAATTTGAAATCGTAGCTTCTAAAGCTGTTTTTGATGAGATTTTTATCGTTTTCCAATCGACTGTATCCACAGGTTTATACCAAACGCTATATTCAATCATTGAACTAGCTTTTTTTGGATCGGCCATCCAAGCTAAATGCACCGAATTTGCATAAGCAAAAGCCGTCAAATTAAACGGTGCTCTCGGTTGGATATCTTCAACAATCAATTCAGTTTCTGCAGTAATCGTAGCAGCTTCATTCGTTGCTGAACACTGATACAACCCACGATCTTCCTCTTGTATATTAACAATCGTTAAATTACCATCTCGAATTGAGTATCTTCCAACTGGTAATGAAGACCCGTCCTTTTTATACCAAACGATGATTGCTTTATGATTATCTTCACCAACGCGAGCATCGCAAGGAATTTCAATGCTTTCGCCTAATTTTCTTTGATAACGACCGTGTGGGGTTATTATAAAAACGGGGGGTCGTTGAACGATGACGTGGATGCTGGGTGATGGTCCTTCCGTACCTAATTCGTTGTATGGTGTACAGGTATAATAACCACTGTGAGATTCGTCTACTCTACTGAAGTACAAACTTCCGTTTCGGCGATAAAAAACACCTTGAACGTTGTACGGGTCGAAAAGAAAACCGTCTTTTTCCCAACGAAGATTAGTTAAGGGTGGGTTTGCTCGAAAATGACAATCTAAAAGGGCTGAACGACCATACGGCAAATGAATGTCTCTAGGGGCGTAAATAACCTTTGCTTTATCTGTAAGAAAATTAAAATAAATTTTTTAAAATAGAACCGGATAACCTTGAAATGCATTAAATGGCTCATTGTGGTAATAATAATGAGGATAATTTTATGATAATGAAGATAATTTTTAATAACACTTACATTGTACGTTTAGAAAAGCTTTAGCTGTTTGAACTTCTCCTAAAGAATTTGTTGCTTCGCATTCATATTCACCTAAATCGCCCATTGTTGTTGGTCGAATCGTTAGCGATCCACGTTCGTTTACCCAAGATCTTTGTAAAATATCGTCTAATTCTTTAATAGGTATTCGGTCTTTGTACCAAATGATGCGTGTATCATCGTCTTTTTTTACACAGTTAAACTCAGCCTCGCTTCCTTCCATAATTGTTTGATTAACGGGAGGTATTCGTAGTAAATTTCCACCTAAAAAGAATTAAAAATTAAGATGAAACTTATATAATTTGTTAAAATCTTGTGTTTACCATTTACTGTCAGATAGAACCACGTCCCATTATTAGTCGATTGAGGTGTCCTATTGGGAAAGAGAATTTGACACTCAAACCATCCTGCATCAGATTCTCGGATTGAGGTGAGATTTATGGACGCTTTCCCAAACTTTGGGTAAATATCATCGTTTATTGGATGAATTCGACCTATGTATGGATCGAAGGAGTGAAGTTGTTCATGTCTTATTGAGAAAACTGTTTCTCCCTTTAATTAAAAATTCATAACATTTCAAAAGAAATTTAAAAATTAATTTTTATTTGAGTGGGTCAGAAGGAAAGTGAACCAAGTCTATTTTTTTCTAAAATTTAGTTAAGAGTATACTTAGGTCCGTTTGAATAGTTATAATTTTATGTGCTGACTTACTCAATACTTAGTTCATCAGGTTACCAATAATGTACGCTAGTTCACTTTAATACTGAATGATTTGCACCTTTTTTCATTGAAAAAATGAACCAAGTCCAAGTAGCTTAAGATTCTGTGATAAAGTGGGCTAAGTCAGAACTCTCAACTGTCGCTGACAGCTCTTTTTAATCTTCATGTGAATTTCTTATGTGGTTAATTTAGTGATGGATTTGAACACAGGTTCTAATAAAGAATTCGAAGACTTAAGTCTTTCTGACCATGGTATGTACATAAACAGTAAAAATTCGTTATAACACTCTTCTAAGGACATAAGAAAAAGAGCGCCATAAACGGGAAAACGCTATAACTGAGAAATCATAAAGATGCTAAAACTTACTAACTTAAATTTCTATCCGTTTAAACAAAAAGTTTACTTTTGTAAAATCTGAAAACCACAACAGATATGTTTATTTTCAAAAAGAGACGGTAACAAATCGTCAGCCCAGAATTATTTTGTTCTAAATCACATTTTGGTACTTTTGAAGAAAATTACATTGAAAATTTCAGCAAAAATAGCTTGTTCTAAATCTATTCAGACATTAGAATTATCTAGGTTCAAATCCAAATTTTTACTAATTATTTGTTCTATATCCAAAATTTAGTTAATATTTTGAAAAATATGTTGTTCCTTATATGAACTCAGAATTATAATGTTCTATGAACCAAGTCCGTCATATTTTGTTCTAAATCCTCTCACTCTATATGATAACAAAATTGTGCTAAATCCATTCAGTTTGTTTTGGGGATTTTGACATTAAAAATCGGTAGTTTTAATAATTGATTCCGCCGCCAGGGGCGCCCTTATGTGCATTTCTGTCAACTGTCAATTCCTGCGTTATTAAATTTGAAAACGTGACATTTATTATTCTCGTTATATTTTTGAGTGTTTTTTATATTAATAAGAACAAAACATAATAATGACTAGTACGACGAGTTATATTCTTCCTAATAATAATATATCGCCTAGTTGTTGTTCCGAACTTTTGAGGTAAATAAACAATAATACCTATTCTAATCTAACTTTTCTAACTATTATTTGCCACTTTTTAGTAACCAATTAAATGACTCAAATCTAATCGATGCTGATGATAGATTAGATGTAGATAAGAAAAATAATTCTAATGGAAGTGTTGATGAAAACGTAGTTGATGAAGATAGAATTGATAGAATAAAGAAGTTGAACAAGAAACGTAAAAGAAATCCTTCTTCGTGGAAACAAAATATAAGAAAGAACAAAAGGCAAAGAGGAGAAGAATACATAGATTGTAAAGGAAATTTAAAACCAAAAAAGAAAGTAAAAACTGCGACATGTCATACGGAAAAATGTAGTTTCAAATGTTCACAAGCAATTAATGGAGAAGAGAGGGATCATATCCATAATCAATTTTGGAATTTGGATGACAAACGTAAACTCCATTTCTACTCACAGCATGTCAAACGTATTGTATCGCTACGCAAAAGAACAAAAGAAGAAATTAGTAAGAAAACATACAGCTATAAATACTATTTCTATGTATCCGGAGTGGAAGTTCGAGTTTGCCAAGAGTATTTTCTGAATACATTGAATATAAGCAAACAACGGATCTACTATTTCTTCAAAAATAATATGAATGAAAATGTACCAAGAAGTCCTAAACATGGCAAACATTGCAAAAAAACTATTAGTGATGAGCAAAAAGACAAAGTAAGGGCTCATATTGGTAGCTTCCCAGCAGTAGAATCACACTATTGTAGAGCACAAACTAGTAAAAAGTATTTGGATAGAGGACTCAATCTCAGAAGAATGTATGAATTTTATAGGTCTTCGTCTAAAATTCCAGTAAAATTTAATATATATTCTCATATCTTCAATAATGAATTTAACATTGG